TCTCTCTCTCTCTCTCTCTCTCTCTCTCTCTCTCTCTCTCTCTCTCTCTCTCTTTCTCTTTCTATACTGTTTTTTTCTATTTCTTGAAAGAAATATGTTTAATTATGCACATAAATGAGTAGAGTAGTTCTTTATTAGGTCGAGTCATAAGTAACTTCCGATGTGGACTATCATCGGAACTGACTTATCAGTGCATTTGTCTCATAAAAAATGGAAGTTATTTATGACTCGACCTAATATATCTTCTTTCATAACAATAAAATATTTCTGTTTATACAAAAGATACAGATAAACAAGAAGAAGAAGTAGAAGAAGAAGTAAAAGGAATAGTTTCAAATACTGAACTACCAACATTCATATATATATATATATATATATATATATATATATTGTATATTCACATTGTGGAAAAATATGAAAGACTATGAAGATTTATGAGAATATTTATCCTTATTTACAAAAAAAGCAAACCCAACAGTACTCCAAAGGGATATGAAAGAAAATCGTACCCATATTTTTCATCCTGCATTAGGCCTACAATATCCAAGGGTTTCGCAGAATTTTATATAAACGAAAGTAAGAAAAATATTTGATATTAATCATTGATCATTTAATGTTTCATTAAAAAATAACCTAAGCTTTATCACAATACATCAACCTTTGTCATATTTTGGCTCACATGAGCCACAATAACACGTGTTCGAGTATCATTATCAATAAAATATAATTTTGTTATTGCAAACTAAAGATAAATCTCCTTTGAGAAAATGTTTATTAATTTATTTAAACTTGTTCTTTTTATTTATTTATGTTAATTTATTTTCTAAGAAAATATCAAGTTTTCCTGTTGTGGTCGTACTGAATTGAAATCTTTCAAGATTAAATTTACCAAGATGAAACACATTGAATTATTTCATTGTCCAATAACATTAACAATATTAAAATATATATTCACAATAATACTTAAGAATAAATATAACAATAATAATAATAATAATAATAATAATAATAATAATAATAATAATAATAATAATAATAATGAATATTTCTAAATGAAAGTAAAAAGGAAAATTATTTTCTTATTTAAATATTAACACATCACAAAAGCTTTGCTTAATTTTTCTCTCTTATACTATGAGAGAGAGAGAGAGAGAGAGAGATTGCTTATGCATTTACGTGTGGCCCTTGTCATTGTTCCCGATAATTGAATATTCTTTATAGAATAGTTAAATGGATTTTGTTCATCCTTTGACATTATTATGTTTATGCATAGGTGTAATTAACAATTTTATATAAAAAAGAAAAAAAAACACAAACAATTTATACAGGTATATATAAACGTATAGAAATTATCGTTTATCAGATAACATAAACAAAATTTCATAAGCCGATCGATCAAACGTAAATCTATCTTTTTATTGAAAGTAGATAATCAATTGAAAACTTCGTTATTTTTTCTCTTTCATTTAAAAAAAGAAAAAAAAACAATTTTATAAGATAATTATCGAGATACTTTTTTATTATCTACATTTTCATATATATATATATATATATATATATATATATATATATATATTCCAAATAAATTCAACACATATATTAGGTGTACCTATTTAATTCAGTGTTTGACAGTATTTTAAATTCATTGCATGAAAATTGCAATCTTTTTGTTTTTAAAAATAAATTCTATAGTTACCTGAAAAATAAAAAATAAAAATAATTGAAAATAAAATACAAACTATTTAAAATATAATAAAACACTCTAACATAAGATGTTACTTAACAAATAAATATTAAATTTCTTTAATTAATAGATACACGTACCTAATATTTTATATCTTCTCAATTTTATCATATTTTTTTTTTTTTTATAGATTTACCAATAACAATTTTTTACGAGAGAATTAAAAAAAAAAAAAGAAAAAAGAAAAAAATAAGAAGAAAATAGGGTTTTATTGGATTACCGGGATGGGAGGGTGGAAACGTTAAAATGGCGTGATTTTTATGAGAATACAATTATAATCTAATATGGAGTGGCTTTCAACGTTAAAGCATAGCACTTAAAGCAATCTCTCTCTCTCTCTCTCTCTCTCTCTCCCCTCCTCTCTCTCTATTTCTATCTCTACCTATATTTATTTCTTTATATATCTCTTTTATCCCATAGGACAACGTGGTGTTCAAGTTTAACTAATAAGGGCGATCTTTCGTTACGAAATATTCTCTATAATGAAATGCATTATGTATTAACCACTACTGCCGTACTTTAATCTTTGCTATAGGTCGGATCTTTCAAAAAGGGATTTTATATTTAATTAGAACCTTCCAACAAATTTTTTTTCTCTCTCTCTCTCTCTCTCAAGAATAATGAGGAAAAAAAAATATATAAAATAAAATTGAAAGACAAATCTTGTTTCAATCTAACTCCTCTCTCCCTCTCTCTCTATCTCTCTCAGACATGACGTTTATAAAAAAAAAGTAAAAAAGTCTATTTTTAACCGAGCATA